AATCCATGAACATTTCACCAGAAATAACCTTCAACTTTATCAGCCTTATAGTAGATTGACAGTATCGAAGAATCACCCCATGTGCTGTGGGATTAAACTATATAATAAGCTTAGTAATGACATTAAGTCCTCAAACATCAATGTCTTTAAAAGGAAGCTTAAGGTTTTTCTATTGCAAAAAGCATACTACTCTGTGGATGAGTTTCTCCTTGAGTCATAATCATAATTTGATTGTAGCTTAGTGATTTTATTTTTATTTAAGTTATGCTTTGTATTTGTTTTTCTATAATAGTTTGACCTGTTGTATCAGCCAGTATTTTATGATGATGTTTGCCTAATGTGATTGTAAATGAACACTGATTCAATAAATGTTTGATTGATTGATTGATTGATTTCATCTTTTAGATATTGAAGACACTGAACAGCAATAGCTGCACTCCTTACTTATTGTGGGACAATGGAACTAGAGCAGAATTGTTGGACTTTCTGGAAAGCCAAAGAAACAATAGGAATGAAATCGATTTGAACATTTGCAGCGATTTTACCTACTCTGCACATTCTGGAGAACTTAAAATTGGTGGCGTTTTTATCAAAATTTACAATCAACAGCCTACTTTTCCCATAAAAGTAAGTATCACTTTGAGATGTTGAAGTTTTTTTGAGAATGACTGTTTTCTTTCAGGACCCAAAGAGTTTCGTGATAGAATTACTGGGTTTCCTTAAAGAACAATCACAATATCTCTTCAACCTAGTTAACATAGCTTATTCTGTTACCATAGAAGATAGGATAAAAAATACTGTGATGGCTCTCGAAGCTCTAACGAATGTGATAAGAAACAATACTAGTGTCGAAATGCAGTGCATCGGTCATTTTAGACTCCTATTTAGGTTACTAACCGTTAGCGAGATACCCGTTCAAAAAGGCGCTTTGAATGTCATATCCTTAATAACGAGGAATAACGAGTGCATCAATGATATCGCCGCCAGTGACGTCCTAGGTTATCTCCTTCTGGTGTTGTATAGCCTGCAAGATTCTCAACTCCAAACCTTGGAAGCGCTATATGCTCTCATGGCGACCACAAAAATAGTGAAAGAAGCCTTGAACAAAGGAGCTGTGATATATCTCCTAGACCTGTTTTGTAACTCGACGAACCCCCACGTCAGACAGTCTTGCGCCGAACTTCTTGCTAGAATGAATCTCGATAAGTTGGTTGGTCCAAAAGTGAGGTTAGCTTTGGGTGCGTTTCTTCCGCCTATTTTCGCTGATGCCATGCGAGATAATCCCGAGACATCAGTGACTATGTTTGAATCTGCGCACGAACATCCGGAACTCATTTGGGACCAGGAAGCCAAGGATAGAGTTTGCACGATAGTTTCCAAGTTCAGAAGAGAGTGAGTATTCTCAGGTTTATGCAAGACGGGAAATAACTCTTTCGATCAATTTTCAGGCATCAAACATCTCAAATGTCCAATCCCTCGGCGCTCTGGAAAATGCCCGATACTAATGGTCTCACCAATATTGCTACGCCTAACGAAGTTGTGGTGGCTGGTGTTTATCTTAGAATTTTTATCGCGAATCCTTCTTGGACATTGAGAAAACCGAGAGAATTCCTCACAGAATTGCTAGAGACTTGCCTGAATATGATGAGTAAAGATAAACCGAATGTAAGTAGTCACAAAAAGTCAGGCCCCACGTTGGGCGGCCTGTTGAATCCCGCACTTTATTTCTAGATCGAACTGCTGGAACTTTGTACGACTTCCTTGTGTTCTCTCCTGCAAGCCCAACCTGCTCTGCTGGACCTGATACCTTCCATGGGACACATACCACGTTTGTGCAGACAAATGGGCTCCAATATACGACAAGTAGTGGTTCCAAAATCGGCCATTTCTATTTTGAATTCTTTATCCATGAGTAACGTAGGTGTTCATAAACAGCGTTTTGCATATAGAATAAACGTTTTTTTTTTCAGATTTGCATTGGTGCTCTAGCTCAGACTGAGTGCATGCATCCTCTGAAACAGGCGATGCAAGTTCGTAAGGATATGGTGGCTGTAGCTTGCGAAGCTCTCAGCAGGCTCTTTTCCAGTAATCAGGATCAACTGGTAAAACAAGCTCTAGATGTGGAATTCGTTCAGTTTTTACTCAGTCTCCTCGAGGCCAGATTGGATCTAGTCGATAATCCTGCCATGACAAAAGCACAAATCGTGAAAGCCTTGAAGTCGATGAGCAGAAATTTATTGTATGGCGATAAGGTCAGCTCGATTCTTGACAAAAGCACCATATGGTCAGAGTATAAGGATCAAAGACATGATTTATTTATTTCCAATACTAACATTGCCGGATATTTGACAGGTTAGTGGTTTCTCATTTCATAAATATATGGTTAAGATACCGAAGGTTCCTTTGATGAAATTGATAAATAAGAAGCAGCTGACAGATTCATTTCATTTGAATGGAACAATCAATATGAATACTTTCACACTTTGCACTCCAACCTTCTATCATAAGGCCTTGCTCATATGTTACTAAATATGGCAACATTAATTTTCTTGCCAACCTCTCCTATCCTAAAGAAAGCTGTTTGATCTGTAAAATATCAACTGGCTATTGTTTGTAAGTTAATGTATGTTAATTCCTTTGTGCACTCTTTTGAACACATTCAACCTTTGAGAGGCCTGAAGTGGCTTATGCGTCTCAAATATTTTTGTGGGTTGAACTACCCATTACTTTGCCAATACTTTATCAATGTCTATTAATTCATTTTCGTGTTGAAATATTGTGTTGGATTGTGCTATTATTATACTTTCTTATTAGTCAGTGGGCTATGCTTGAAGACAGGCAGTTAACAAATCTAAAGAAATGAACTTTAAATGTTCAAGCCAGTCTCGGATATACCTACCTTCAATCCAATGGCATTCGTGGTAGTAACCAGTGGAGTAGTTGTTTTCTGATAGAGGTCGGTCCATTCAATCTACTGTGTAGGTATATCCGAGACAGACTTGAACATTTAAAGTTCATTTCTTTACATGACTATCTTCAAGCATAGCCCACTGACTAATAAGAAAGTTTTTCTTCCTTATTCAGAGGAATCGGGCAAATTACGGATATGCAGTTGGTTAGTACCTCGTCCACTAGATGGAGTGACATTTTTGTTGAACGTTTGAAGTTCCATTTGCTTTAGATTTGTTAGGTCGAATCTGTCAGTTGTATTCCCAATTGCATATGCAGGAAATTTTCTGTGAAGATTCCTGCACTGACGCCTGTCGGATTCGAACGCCCTTCGTTGTATTAGCCAGGGGAGTAGTTGTTTTCTGATTGGCGTCAGTCCATTCAACCTACTGTTTGGTGTATTCGAGACTGGCTTAAATGTTTAAAGATCATTTCTTTAGAATTATTATACTTGTTCAGTTGTATAATTTTGCTACTTTTGGGAAAAGATTTTGAAGGGATAGTGTCTCACAAAATATTCTGTTGCTAGTTGGGTACTAAAAACACAAATGAAAATTTAATTGAAGTTTATTGAACTTTTACTGATAAAACAATACTGAAACTAAATTGAAAAATCTTGACGTCCAGTAATTTCATATGAGCTCTGAATTAGGAGTGATAAGTTTATTCACAGTTCAAGCTCTATACCAGCCACTTTTTCCTAAAAAATATTGTATATATTGTGTAACTGATAATGAAAATAATGTCTTTTTTTAATCCTCAGCGTTATCCAGTATTGATACCGCTCTGTTTGAATTTACAATTATCCAATAGTAAAAACATAAAAACACTTACAAAATAACTGACTAATTATACTTAAATTACACACATTATGATGGTAAAAAAAATACAGATACAACAAATGAAGATAATTCATAACCTATCACATATGCGTTTTTTTTTTTTTAAGCAGGTACCCCTACCGCCGCAGGCTACTTGACGCAAGGTCCCAGCGCCAAGGTGAATGTGGCACCTCCACCAATCGGAAGAGAGGATTCGCCCATGAAATCAGATGGTCTTTGACTCGCCATTGAAAGTCATATCCCTGTTGAAGTTTTATACTTCTATGTCTACAAACGTTAAGTCAAAACTGCCAAAATAAAATTCTCTGGGGATTTTAATTCACACGTTAATTGCATTTGTAATATCACTAAGAGGTTGGATCAAAGTCAAGTAATCTGAGTGGGTTTCAAGCAGTTCATCTAGGGATTGTCGAATCTCCAGAAATGATGGTCTTGCGCTTGGTTCATCTTTCCAACATTTCGTCATGATGGAATACCTAGTGACAAAAATTATGGTTTAGAGATTGCCTCGAAGTGAATGATATTAATAAGGATATTCTTATTTCTACTAACTATAGTAAATTTATTGTATTTACAATGAATAGGATAGCTCCAAGGCTACTTTCATCAAAAAGACAATTCTTGCCTATTCACAAACTTTCCAAATATATTTGGAATTGCATTACAAACAGAGATATGGCGGTGGATTTATAAAAAATGGAACACACTGTACACAACTTTTTCATATAGGCTGTCCAAAAAATATCCATTCAATTTGAATAGTATGTTTCGTAAGTGATCATTTGTATGTGGCGAACAGGTTGAAACTGATTGACTTTGTCTGTTTTACGTGCATTTTCTGTGTTTAATATTCAAAGTCTTGCTAGTGAAGTCCCCTATCGTGCATAGCTATAGTACCGCAGAGATGGCTGGCATGCATTTCATTTATGGACTTGCTGATGGCAATTCATTGAAAGCTAGGCGGTTGTGCAGTGAACGATTTCCTAATCGTAGTGTGCCTAATAGAAAAATCTTCCAAAGTATACATCAACGACTTCGTGAAACAGGAACATTGAAGCGAAAAGGAGGACCAGGAAGGCCAATGACAGTAAGAACGGTAGAAGTAGAAAATGAATGAGATGGCCATAATAGCAGGAGATCCAGGTACCTCTACTCGAAAAATTGCAAATTCTTCAACTGTAAGTAACGGAATGATTTGGAACATTCTTAGATACTATTTGTTCAGGCACTTCTTCCTGCAGATTTTCTTCCACATATTACATTCTGTCAATGACTTTTGCCCACATTGGTTCAAATCCCTCAACTACTGACGCTTATTCTTTTTACCAATGAAGTCAGTTTCTTAAGAAATGCCATAAGGAATTTCCACAATAACCACGTTTGGGCTGAAGAAAATCTACATGAGGTGCTTGAAGAACGCTTTCAACATCAGTTCTCGTTAAAAGTTTGGGTGGGAATTGAAGGTGACTTCCTAATTGGATCGGTATTTCTGCCAAGATGACTTACTGGCGAGGTATACCTCAACTTTCTGGAACAAACGCTACCTCAGTTTCTGAAGGATGTACCATTGCTTACAAGGAATGCAATGTGGTTTATGCACGATGGTGCCCCAGCACATTTTGGCATATTGGCTTGAGAATTTTTAACAGTAACATACGGAGATCGCTGGATTGGTCAAGGTGGACCTCACTTATAGCCTGTTCGATCATCGGACTTAAACCCTCTGGATTACTTCCTGTGGGGCCATCTAAAGTCATTAGTTTATACTATTCCAGTGGACGATTCGAGAAATCGGATAATTGTTGGGTGTAACGCAATCAGAAACTATCCCGATGTTTTTGAAAGAGTTCTGGAGTTTATGAGGAGAAGATTGGATTCTTGCATCCGAGCGGGGGGGGTCATTTTCAACAGTTCTTTAGATTATAATAAACTGTTATTGTCGAAATTCTTTTGCGCTCCATTCGAATTAAAGCGCCCTATGAAAAATCATCAAATGTCAAAATATCCTTAGAATAGTCGCTTAAATTTTTGCCGCATGTTTAGTAAACACCCTATATTGAGCAAGTACACACTATGTAGCCTCCCGTTTGAAATACTGAAAAAATCGTGATAGTAACAAAAAATTAGTCATATTAAAATGTATGTCACTTGAACAGATTTAGCTGATGTTTGAAGAACTCAATTTATTGAATAAGTTAACAGAAAACTCAGTGCATAAATGAAAACAGACTTACAATGCTTCGGAACAGTCTTCTGGCTTTGACATTCGATTACCACTTGTCAACAAACCAAGTATATCATGAGTGGCTATACCGGGATAAGGTGTGCTTCCCAAAGTGACGATTTCCCATAAGAGTATTCCAAACGACCAAACATCACTCTGCGTCGTGTAAATTTGGCGTGTCATCGATTCTGGAGCCATCCAACGAATAGGCAGTTTTCCTCCACCTGATTTGAAGTAGATGTCGTTATAGTACACATCGCGGCTCAGCCCAAAATCTGATATCTTTACGGTTTTATTGTCGAATACTAGGATGTTTCTAGTTGCCAGATCCCGGTGGATTACTTTAAGCGAGGCGAGGTATTCCTAGAAATTGAATTATTATTTTAATAACAACGCTTCTTCATGTCAAGAAGTCAAACAATTGAAAGAAATTATGGTAGGGGATGGTTCAAGTTGTTGCTATTATGTGAGTTGAAAAAATACCGATGTTAATTCATTGTATAAATTGAAACTGTGTACTTTCATTCATTTAATGTGTGACCGCTATAATCCTTATTCACTATCGTGAATAATAAATTCAAATTTTATGAAGAGATTGTTGTTCTATGTTAGTCTACGAACTTGTCAGTCCAATTGTTATGTTTTGTTTTCAAACAAGCTATAATAATGTATACAGTGCAGACATGAATACTCCCCTCTCTCAACTTTCGAACGGGGTAAAATATATATTTGGACAAAATTTGCATTACTTTTTGAAAGGGGTGTCTTGCGAAGGTATTTGAATTCTCTGTACAACGACCTTTACTGTTTTGAATGTGGATAACCGGTTTTGGTGTTTGAATTGGAGACTAGGAACAATTACAATCCGTAACTTTGCAATCAAAAGAGGATTGAAACTGCTCCAAAGTTAGTTAGAGAGAGAAAGAATTGTTAACGTATTTCTGTTTATATTCCAATCTAGGATTTGTTAGTGCAAGTTTTCCTGGTTATTCGATCTGCTTAAAATATCTCAGAATTGAATTAAAAATTTCAAACAACTGAAAATGTAGCTAGAGGAGCCCGACGAAAATTTGTCTCTGACGAGAAACACGTCTGGAGAAATCTGAATTATATTTTATAAATTTCACTTACCATTCCTATCGCAACTTGTCTGGCAAAAGAAATCAAATCTTTCGGTTCTGGAACATCCTCCAAGTCATCTTTATTCATATCATACAATGTATTAAGAGCATAATTAGCACTTCCTGAAGATTCAATACTGTTGTTTATCAAAATTCTGCAAAGGAAAATAAATGTAATTGCGAACTCCGAATGAAAGTCGACATTGATTTTCATTATTCGTGAAAAAACGATGCTAACACTTACGCTTTTGTTACTTTCCTATAAGCAGATCGTAAGTAACTTTGGAGATCTCCCTTGGAACAATATTCTACTACTAACATTGGTTGGCCTCTGCTCACACACCCAATCAATGACACCAACTGGGGGTGTGGAGGGACGCTCTTCATAATTTCAATTTCTTGGTGAAACTGCTTCTGTTCTTCCCGTGTTGGACTATCTATAAATGAATGGTATAAGTATGAATAATTTTAAAACGCCCTTGGGAAAAAAGTAGATACCTTTTAACATTTTGATAGCGACTTGGGTATAACATCCTTTGTCGGTCAAGTACCATCCTCTGCGAACCACTCCAAATTCCCCATTCAATATGAATTTCTACAAAATAAATAGGCCATTAATCGAACATATTTCCAATCATTGTATAAACTCAACCAACAGAATTGAAAACAAAAATCAAATTTTTCAAATATTGTTGTAAATCATGCCCTAAAGAAAATAACGCCAACCGCTACTGGTAGCCGTAAACCAATTGTGTCGTGGCGAAGAGCGCGCTCAGTTCGATCGACATTTTGCAAATGCCTTCGATTGCCAAATATAAGTGCCATCCACTCGCGAGACAGTCAAGTGGAAGTTACAGTGCGGTACGCACACAAAGATGTGTAGTTCATGAAACGCAGTACTTTCAGACATAAACTGGAAGAAAAAGACCTCTCGAAACTAATTTCATATAAACATCGAATTACACGAAAGAAAAATACTTTCGAAATGATGACTTGAAGAGAAAACAGGCCAGTAGAAATCCCCGGATAAGTTTTGTGAGTTTCCTCCCTGGTGTTCAGTCACTTCTGCCCAGTTTTATATAGTACCATATCAATACAATTGCTATTTTTTAGTGTCCTCATACTTCATTTTATTCATTTTCGTGGCTTTTTAACGTCGGTGTTTTGAAGGCTTACCTTGAAATATGTGTCTCTTTCTCTTTGTTGCTCCCTCTTTCCCAAATAGTAGTTCAAAGCAAACAGTGCAAAGAGAATCACCATTGTTAAGGGAATTACAGAAATGAAAATAACCTCGGTCGGTATTACCGGTTCCTTTTCGATTGAGGAGTCTGCACTTTGGTTGAAAAATCCATGAACCACTGCAGTGGCGCTACGACCGTAATCAGAGAAAGCAGTCATTCGGACTTCGTATTCAGGTGATAGTTGAAGGGGTTTGAATTTAGCGGTAGTACTATCCTGAAAATTAATAAGCATGTGGTGAGTTTTATTTACACTATTAATTTCATTTTTCTCACATTACTATTTTTATTTATATCCTATTTTTTGTTTGTAATACTTACCCCTGTGACATTCAGAAGAAATTTTGTGAAATTGCCGTTGAACAGTATTAATTCCACTGAATAAAATTCCGGTTTGTATTCAGGATCATTCCAATGGAGAATCACATTATACAAGTGCGACCCCCCTTTATCTGTCGAATCTGCTAAAATTTCTTTTGTCGTAAGATTCCCAGGCTGATCTGGAGCTGAAAATAGAAAGTAGTTATTTCTTATTGCGTACATTGATTTGAAACAAGTTCTCTTTCNAAAAACAAGCTTTAATAGTAACACAGACTAAAAAATAAAAAATAATTGGAAACTAATTTTATTCTGTTGTAAAAAAGCGTGAGGTGCTAATCTGGCAAATGGCTGCTAACTAAGTATTTATACTGTTACGTTTTTCCCCGTGGGTTGACCAATAATCGACTTCACTGAACAATCAAACTCAACTTTATTTCACTTTAAATACAACAAACACTTTAACTAATACTTCAACTATTATTCGAATGGCTATCGCCTTACTAGATCGCTTTGCGTACCGCACTGTAACTTCCACTTGACTGTCTCGATATGCTCATGGCTACCGTTTATATATCGTAATCGAATGCGTTAACAATTTTCGCCGAAATTCCATCGAAATCGGTTGCATTATTCTCGCTGCTTCTAGAGCGACAGCGAACATCATACATTCGCGCGCTCTTAGCTACGTCACAACTGATCCACGGCCACCAGCGGCGGCCGGCGCCACTTTCTTTGGGGCATGATTTACAACAATACCTAACAATGGATATTTAGCACCCCACGCTATTTACAACAAAATTAAATTAGTTTCGAATTATTTTTTATTTTTTGTTGCTATTAAAGCGTGTTTTTTATTTCTTTAAATTATTCTCATTATAACAATATAGCACATATGGGTACTTACCGCATTTTGGTGTTTGTTTGTGATATTTGTAAGCTTGAAAACATGTTGGTATCGTTAAGTTGAGCCACGTTTTCGGACCTTCAGTGCGAAAATCTGAGTTTATATCCGTGATTCCAAAAATAGATATGGAATAGTTTCTTCCAAACTTGAGTTGGGTTATATTCACCTCGTTATTATTCCATACCTGAAATTATCATACTATGTATTCCATATAGATCCTTTCGTCAAACAAATTATTTTTTTATAAAATCATCTCAGATGAGGAGAAAGGGGAAAGGGTACTTACATTTTCTATATTGAAATCTTGGTAACCTTCATCTTCGCTCCCAAGAGATACAACGTTGAAGTAACATCCATTATCTGCAATATATGTTATTATATCAAATGTATTCGAATAAAATATGGGAAAAAAATAGTACTAATTGGTTCCGTAGACATTTATACTTTTAAACCAATAATATGAAGAGGATAGATGGAAGTTTTTGTATGTTTGTAATAGATAAACTCAAAAACTACCTAACCGATTTCAAAAATGTATTCCCCTGAAAAAGTATGAACAATTTGCCTGAAAAGTCATTATTTGGCATGCGCTGTCGGGACTTTTTTTCCGTGTGTTGGAAGGGAGATTTGGTCAGCAAAGTGAAGCTGTTGAAGGCTTCAATGCTTTAGCAATCTGGTGGTACCAATCCAAGAAGGCGTACTATCAAGGCCACTTGTCATAGATGAGAGCTACGGCTGGGTGCAGAAGTGCTTTTTCTAAGACAAACCATACGACGGAGACATCAACATCTCCTGCAGTAGCGAATTATTTTCCTTCCTCTAAACAAGCCGTTTTTTTATCATGTGGTAACATTGCTATGTTCTAAACCGTAACAGATACAACTACGATTGAATAAAAAACACAGTTGTTTTCCGAATTCAGCTAATGATTCATTTCTTACCTTCTCCCTTATTCCATCCCACAAGGGCGGTTACTGTGCCTTCGACTAAGTAGAATGCTTTCAAATAAAAACTCGAAACAGCTGCGGGTATTCTGGAGGGCCTGTGAGTTCTTATATCTGCCGGGAGACTTCTTTCACGTATTATCCGTCCATCTTTTGTTTTCCTGAAGCTTCTCAGTTCAATTTTGTATGTGGTTAGTGGAGTTAAATTTGTGAAGTTCGCAAATCCACATCTTGTCTGGAAGTATTATTAAAATTATCAATTATTATATGAAATATTCGCCAAAGTACGAAGAATCATTATTTTGAATTCTATTCCTGTTATATTCATTCTTGTTTCTTGGGATTAATAAGGATTATTGTTAATTTCAAAAACTACACCTCGCGATTATCTCCACAAACTTCATTTGAAAAATATCTCACATGTTTTGCTAAGACATTAGTTTTTTCAAGTGGTGATCTATTCAAATCTAGTTGGCCATTCATTAGAATGTTTGAATTTTTAAGTTTATTAATTTCCATTGCTTCCAACGAATCGCTTTTGCGTAGACTTTTTTGGCAAGTATTTTGTTCATTAATTCGGCTTTAAACCCATTGTTAACCGCAATTTGTTTGATGATATTGAGTTCTTTATCAAAATTATTTATTGAAAGTGGAACATTAACTAATCTGTGAATCATGCTATTATAAGCTGCTACTTTGTGTTGATAAGGATGGGTAGAATCGTAATGTATAGTAATATCCGTATAAGACGGTTTGTGATAAATTGAAAAATCATGTTTGCTGTTCATTCTACTAATTGTTAGGTCCAAGAAATTGATTGAGTTGTCTGCGTCAATAGTGAATTTAATGTTTTCATGAAATTTGTTAATATCCCTATGAAAAGTATCTAATTGCAGCTCCGTCACGCTGGAACCTGCTTTGAAAGAAATCCACCTTTTTTTAGCCTACTTTACCTATATACGATACTAATAAATGTAGTAGTGTTCATTTTTTGTAGTCTCATCGGTTAATAAGAAAGCACTGTTGACATTATTCAAACTACGAAATACAAGTAATAATGCGCTAAAAAGTTTTGAAATAGGTTCTAAATTGATTGTCGTTTATTGTAGTAACAACACAATATCAATATACCTATTTTATATTTTTTTGAAGTATAGCAAAAAAAACTACGATGACAAGACTTCATATCATAAAATAACAATTGTCCTCAAACTACAAACGATAGAGTTGATTGTAGCTGAAATTAGATGTTTGTAGTTACCATCAAACACATCAAAAATGAATGAAATAAAATCTAGTATTTTTCAACTAAACTAACCTAACATAACCTATCCTAACCTAACCAACATATGAAACCTGAAATCTAAAGTTAAAACTAACGTATTTTAGAATGCTTTATTTGGAAAAAACATCTACTTTCAACATCTAACCTGACTTCAGAATTCAAAAACGAACTCATGTTAATATGTTGGAAATAAATCTTAATCTTGAACATCTAACATGAGTTCGTTTTCGAATTCGGTAAACAGGTTAGATGTTGAGGGTAGATGCTTTTTTCCAAATAAAGCATTCTAAAATACGTTAGTTTTTACTTCAGATTTCAGGTTACATATTGTTGGTTAGGATAGGTTATGTAGGGTTAGTTAGTTGATAAATACTCGATTTTATTTCATTCATTCTTGATGTGTTTAATGGTAACTACAAACATCTAATTTCAGCTACAATCAACCCCATCGTTTGTAGTTTGAGGACAATTGTTATTTTATGATTTGAAGTCTTGTTATCGTAGCTTTTTTGGTATACTTCAAAAGAATATAAAATATAGTTATATTTTGTTGTTATTACAATAAACTATAATCCATTTTGAACCTATTTCAGAACTTCTTGGCACATTATTACTCGTCCTTCGTAGTTAGAATAATATCAATAGTGCTTTCTCAATAACCGATAAGACTACAAAAAAATGAACATTACTACATTTATTACTATCGTTTGTAGGTAAAGTAGGCTGAAAAAAAGTAGATTTTTTTCAAAGTGGGTTCCAGCGTGACGGAGCTTCTAATTGCCTCTTAGTACCTGTAAAATTCAATTTATCAGAAACCGTTCTATATATTACTATACGTTACGGTTTTACCCATCCTTATCAACACAAAGTAGCAGCTTATAATAGCATGATTCACAGATTAGTCAATGTTCCTCTTTCAATAGATAATTTCGATAAAGAACTTAATATCATCAAGCAAATTGCGGTTAACAATGGGTTCAAAGCCGAATTAATAAACAAAATACTTGCCAAGAAAGTCTACGCAACAGCGATTCGAGACGTATTTCCTATTGATAAGGTAGATAATCAAAATTATACAGCTTTAACGTATTTTGGACAACCAACGGAAAAAGTGGATTAATTTTTTAGGAAACAAGATATTAAAATTGCATATAAAACAAGTAATACATTGGGAAAGTTAGTTAGAAATAATAAAGACAAGACATCCAAATTCGAGAAATCAGGAGTATATAAAAATAAGTGTGGAACATGCCCTAATGTATATATTGGTCAAACTGGCAGGACATTTAGGAATCGAATCCAGGAACATCATACGAGCTATGTAAATAAGAAAACAAATTCAACATATTCAAATCATCTTCTAGAAGAAAATCATATCTTCAACGAAGAGTTCGAAATTTCACACATAGAAAATGAAGGTTTGAAATTGAATCATTTGGAAGCAATGGAAATTAATGAACTTAAAAATTCAAACATTCTAATGAATGACCAACTAGATTTGAATAGATCACCATTATTGAACTTGTGTTCTCAAAAACCGAGAAAGAATTGGTATTGATGTAGATGTGAGGTAATATGCTTCAGGTGATCATAATTGAACAGGTACGTTAGATAGAGGTTCAGGTAAATTTTTTGTAGGTAGTTTCAATTATGGTTACCTGTAGTATATATTAATGTAAGAACAACTTGAAGTATAAATCACTTGAAAAAGCTATTGTCTTAGCGAAACATGTTGTGAGATATTTTTCAAATAAAGTTTGTGGGGATCAAATCGTGAGTTGTAGTTTTTGAAATTACTATGGATCTTCATCAAGTAACGGCCGAATCAATCAGAAGATTATTATTAAAATTTGAATAAACTTTCGATTATATATGGCCACTCAAGTTTTCAAATGTAAAATCAAATGCACGCTACTGCTGGTATAAAAGGACCCGAAACCTCATGAAATGAATTAAGGTGGTTAGGTTAGGTCCAAAGTGAGTGGGTCTATTCGACCTTCCACCGCAACTCGCAAGGGTTTATTGTGGCTCACACCTATTCACACTCTACCAAATAAACCCAGCTTCTTAACAAAGCCGAATAGTTTGTATGGTGAGTGGTCTTTCAGGCCAGATGGTAAGAGTACGGCTCTGCCTAGCTCTAAAAACCTGGTCCCCAGCGGGGCAGACACAAAGTATGTGCTCTGCTGTTCCATCATTTTTCAAACGAAGGTGACACACACTTGTCTTCCGACAGGCCGAGTCTCTGCATAAGATGATTCAAATGACAGGAGGCCTGTTAGACATCGTAATTCATCCCTACTGTAGTCCAACAACTGTTTGGTACAATCCAGGAAGATTCTGCCAGAAGTCCATAAATCTTCTTGCCATCCAGGTGTTCAATCTTTGTTTGGCAATGCCATCGAACCAATGACAGGTTCTGGTCCGCTGAAGCTGCTTGCAGCACCCTCCTCTGCAAGGGAGTCAGCAGTCTCATTGCCTTCCAGGCCAGTATGGCCAAAAATTCAGACCAGAGACGATCTGTTAAGTCTTCCTATCAAGGAGAGTCGTTTTTGGCAATTTGCTACCAAATTAGGCGTTGCTCGGTAGGAGCCAAGAGCTTCCAACGCCGCTTGACTGTCCGACAATATTTTTATTGACTTGTGTATGAGGTTGGATTCTTCAAATCTCTCCGCACACAATTCAATAGCATAAATTTCCGCTTGAGTTAGGATGAACCTGGAAACCTATACGCCTATACCAACTGCGTATACCACCTATACCAACTGTGGAAAATCATAACGAAAAATTTTGTTCGATCACCCCGTTAGCATTTTGCATTCATAATGAGCATTTAATACATTTTACTTTTTGTACAATCGTGATTGTCTTACCGGCTCAGTTTCGAGTACAAATGATGGTCTTCTCTGCACATCTCTATAGGAAATCTTGTAAAAGGCGTCATTGGATGCTAACCACTTCACAGCAATTGTATCTGCTTCTTTGCAGTGTACTTCCACAGGCGGTAGTAGAGGTACTATTTGTGCAGTTTCTTCCTGGTTAGCCCCTGAAAGATAAGAAATTATGTTACATTTCCAAGAGTGGGACTTGGTTCAAAAAGATACCTAAAGATACCTAGAATTCCACAATTAGGTGAGATTGAAGTTTATGTAAACCAAATGCAAAATACGCCGCCTGTTCAAAAATTCTCTGGAAGCCAAATCTGGTAAATACAGTGGCTGAGGCATGATTACGATGTTGTTTTTAACGAGTGAGCAGGTGCATTATCGTGATGCCAAATTATGTTTCCACAATACCGGACGTTTTCTTTGTATTGCTTCTCGTAAGCGGCGCATAACTTCAAGATAATACTGCTAATTGTCCCGTACGACTATTTGACGAGAACTCCTGATGCAGCTCGTCACGGTAATCGAAGAAAACAGTGAGCAAAGCCTTAATATATGATGATTCAAATGACAGTGACCTGTGAGAAGGTCTATTAGACATCGTAGACTATGTAGTCAAACAACTGTTTGGTATCAAGCTTCGAAGGGCGAATAAACGCCTAGGAGTGAGCCAATCCTGGAAGATTCTGCCCGAAGTCTGTCATAAATCTTCAATCTTTGTTTGGCAAAGCCTAAAGCGATGCCAGTGATATGTTCTGGTACGATGAAGCTGCTTGCAACTTCCTTCTTTGCAAGGGAGTCACCAGCCTCATTGCTTTCCAGGCCAGTATGGCCAGGAATTCAGACCAGAGACAATATGTTAAGTCTTTCTATCGAGGAGAGTCGTTTTTGGCAATTTGCTACCAATTTAGTCGTTGCTCGGTAGGAGCCAAGAGCTTCCAACGCCGCTTGAATGTCCGAGAATATTTGTATTGACTTGTGTATGAGGTTGGATTCTTCCAATCTCTCCGCAACCAATTCAATATCGTAAATTCCCGCTTGAAATACAGTCGCATAAGTTCCTAGGCAGGTAGATATCTCTGACGATTGCGTAACCAGGATCAACATCGACGGCAATTTCGTATATCGTATGAGACGGTGTGTCGTTGTAGAAGGCTCCAAACGTTATGTTGCTATCTATGTGTATAGTACGTACTTTAATGATATCCACAGGTAGATCGGATGCGTAATGCAAGTTGGGTTTGAAAAGAGTAGATGAAAACCCCAAAATATGAGCAATACTATTTGCAGGTCGGAAATCAATCAAGTGTTTCAAACAAAATATTTCGCTTTTCAGTATTATTGTTCGGTTTGAGATAGAAAAATTCCTGAGGATTTTCTTTGTAAAGCTTATTAAAGCTTCAATATCACCAATTTCGTAAGATCTAGAAGGATACTTTTCTGATCGGTTTTGTCATCGTTTGTGTAGTAACAGAATTTCGTGCTATCTTCAATGTTTGGTATACTGTTGTACGAATGAAAACTGAGCAAAGCTAAACTGTATTCGGAATCAGAATCCAATCGAATGGGTGGACTGAAATCGATGGAAAGTGTCGAAGAACGACTCGTTAGAGTTAGTATCATAGACATGACTGATACATTTCCCACATGTACACACATTAAATAATGAGTTTCAACAACAATATTTCGAATCATTCATTTCTAATAATAACATTTTTTTTGTGAGCTAACAGCTAACTTTGCTTTTTGTAATGATGACGCAGCTAATGTAGGTGGTGGTGGCGGTACCTCATGTCGATAATGGATGAAACATGGTAAACGAATCTGCAAAGCGAATCGATGTTGATAGTTCTTTGGTAATTTATGCCAAACATCCAATAATTCCCAAGGTTCAGCATTCTCAATCAATCGATAGAGTTTTCAATTCAGCATCGGTTAAATCTCGCAAAAAGATTTATGTCTTGGCATTATGAAGTAGAAATTGCAGGCACAGATTTCCGCAATTACTCTGATTGAAATTTTGATATCGATCATTGTTATATGTAATCGTTATACTCCTTCCAAAATATCGTAGCAATTCACCCATTGGAGGTTTGAGATTGCCGAAACTATCGAAATATTGTACAGCATTGCCGTTTTTAATATAAGCTACCCAATGAGTGCCTGCATTCAACTGAGAATCCAAGTTCAGAGATATCCCTGTCTGGGATAGTTTCAAATCTGCAGAACTCTCACCTCAAGAGAAAAATCGGATGCCTTCCTCTGTTCTACTTTCGACCTAGAAATACATCTGAATTTCTCTCGATGTCAGGGTTTGCCTGATTGGAAAACAAGGTACCTGAAGGAAATATACTAACGGAACTACGACTCCATTTTATAAGTATAGGCCTATACTCACAAATATTATCTAAGGATATATGGAATTAATTCTTGCTTAGAACAACTCGAAATACTTTTATTAAAAATGTAATGCCAGTTCAATATCGAAATCAAAAGTAAAAAATTGTGTCTCAAGAATATTTCTTACCATAACGAAATATAATATCGGATGTATTCAGTATTTATTCATCTATATATTGCAATAAGTATTTTTTAATTTTCTACAATGGAAATTGATCTTTCCTAAAAAATATGACATTTACAATTTATTCCGAGTTACTTGTGAAATACGTCAGTTTGAAATGACTCCTTTCCCACAGTAGTTGGGAATAGTTGGATAATGACATTATCACTATCTACATGAAATCGAAGAAAACACCAGAATAATATTTTTCAGGTTACAGAATCGTGTAAATAATGTTTGATCAGGTGAAAGTAAATCTTTTGTGCAACTTACCTTTTGGTTCATCATTTTGGCAAATATCGCATCGGGGAACTCTGCATGTGTTTTGATTGGCCTGAAAGAAATATCAAAATTAATAGTTAGATACTATTTTTACAGTTTTACTGTATTTTAGGAATGATAAAAATTCAGTCCATATCATGAACTGGTTCAAAAAAGGCTGAAAGTTCTCTTCAGAACTTTGATTACAGAATGCATGTGAAATTCGAAGTTTTTCCAATCATCTCCCTTTTTAAAAAATATTCGTGACAATTTAGAAATCCGTTGAATATCGCTGCAACAAATGAGAAGAATGTGGTTATTTGAAAAATATAAATACAAAAATAAATAACAAATAGCCTTCCATTTGACAATAATCATAACAAAGTGGCAGTTTTGCATATGCATTGAATCATAACACTGAAAAAATATATCGCACGCGAGTAATTCAACATTTTTCGAAACTAATAAAAAATTGAATGGAAGACGCGATAACATATGAATGATTGATGGTATTCTGAACATGCAAGAATGAGATTAGTTTGTTATGAATTCAAGTTCAACTTTCCAACTGCCAATGCATTATTTTTCTTGATAATCTTTTTAATCTCAGCTTGTGCTACAATAATCAATGAAATCAATAATATTTTCACTTAAAACATTTGTTTCTCATCGAATAAGACATTTGTTTTTCAATGAATAATACATTTGTTTTTCAATGAATAAGAAGACATTAGTTTTATTCTGAACCGTTTGAGAAATAAACAATAATGAATAAAATAATAAGAGTTCGGTAAAACTGAGTTCGATCACCTCATTTTACGTTAATTCATAATTCTTCCCAACCTTTAATTAGGTACTGACCTCCGAAACAAACGGGCATCCAAAACAAACCGAAGGTCGTTCCGATGGAGGAACTTCGTTTGTCACCTTCCCAGGTATAGCACAAAGAAAACACGCAAAAACCACTAATAACACTTTTAACTGATCCATGATAAATATCGATATTTTTCAAATCGCAGTTGTCGCATATCTTTGTCAGAAAAGCAACACCCAGACCTGTACGCTCTGCACTCTGAATTCGTTTGGCAAAATATGGAAATGATATGCTCTCTTATCGATTTATTATTGAATTTTTCGAGCTCAGGTATCACTGTAAATGACTGTAACTTATTGTAATAGATTCATTAGGTACCTACGTAGATAATGGTATTATAATTCGATTCAAACTGTGTCTACCGAGGATTAGGACTATACTTCACTTGTTTTATAGGGTACCTCTGATAGTTCACAGGAAGTTTGTGAATTTTGGATAACGGAAGTATAATCCAAAGTAGGGTCTCAAAGTTGCAAATATATCGGAGAGGGTAGGTATAATACTAAGAAACAAACTCATAGTACAGCAAGAGATCTGTTGGATGAGATATACCTACATTCGTAATGATTCATTTTTCAAATGGATATTTTACTTTCAAAGACTACTTGAGTAGTACTTTATTTATTTACAATTTGGTAAATCACATTTTAGCGACAAAACAAGTTATATAAATAAACAGAAATTTATAGTCCGTCAATGAAGTTTGGAGCTTGTTTAAGAGGCAAAAACAATATTAAGGTGAGGTTCAAATTTGAAAACTAATTGAGAGTAAGATTAGTACACATGCAGCTTGTAAAATATTGCTGAAATGTGAAAACCATAGGTACCTATAAAGTTATAAAATAAATAATAATGCAAATTTAACGAAATGATGATCCACTTTGCAACATTACAAAAACTATTCCTTCAATAATGAAAATAATTCCCTGAACATCTTGCTCTTTTGGCGACGCGTTTCAAATGTGTGCGTACTTTTACATGTTATACAAAATTTTTTGTTTGTTTTAATGGCATTGTCGTTCTGTGTTATATTTTTTCCAATGTACCTGCCATATGTATTTTATCTTGAGTATTATTATGTTTTTCGATGAAATTTTCAATATTTGTGATAATAAACGTGTACGAGACCTGTTCAAAAAATTGCTTCTCGCAAGCGACGTATAACTTTAAGAAAATACTTCTTATTGACCGTATGATCATTTGGCAAGAACTTCTGATGCACTGCGTCGGTCTTGGCTGTTTCATTGGGACCATTGGAATTTGAGTTCTATGTCATTACCATATACCCATGACAAAATCGTTAAGATTTTCGCGGCCAGTTTAACTCAGGATGTATAAACCTCTGAAGAAGCTAGCGAAACGTCAGGAAAACATTACAAAAATCCAAGACTTTCAAACCCGAAAAATAGTGACACATATACAGCAGTTATTTACCAATACTCCTATGTTCACCTTTTCAAAAACTCAATGCAATTCCTTCAAACAATGAAATTTTATTCAGTGTATTGACGCTTCCTATATTTATGTTTCCTAATTATCTTATCTAATATGTTTGAAGCATACCCATTACATTCACCTATATTCCAGATAAAACTTTTCTCGATGTCATCTCTTTTTTTACTTATGGGGAACGTAACAATCTCCCTCAGTGGTGAGAGCTATCACGAATATATTTAGAAATACTGGTATAATCTTCCTATAGACATTCTACACCCTGATTACAATTAACTTCAATAGGAAACCTTTTAAGAATGGTAGCTTCTTGTTTTCAATTTCAAATATAAACTTGACATTCGAGTATCTGTTGTTAGAAATCGAAAATTTTTGTTAAAAAAATTGTTGAAATCGGTACACAACAAAAGACCTTTTGATGCTTTCGAATGTCTGGGAAGAGCAAAATTTGATAAGAGAACTATGACTATTGGCAAAGGTGCCATTTCAAACAGTCCATTGTTTACTTTTATACGAATCTTCTGCTAATTTGTACTCAAGAAATCATTGATATACGACTAAAAGTGTACCCTGTTAGATATAAACAGGTTGAGTTGGAGTTTGGAATTGTATATTTCATCTCTTGATGACGCATTATTGGTGAAACGCGAGTCGATAATAGTGCTGCAGTTCTGATGTGTGGGAGTAATGTTTGTTTTGGAACGAAAAAGCTACTGAAAAATTTCAATCTGACCTCATGAACTCCTTTGTTATCATAAACACAGTAGCGTTTTTACAGTATGGCACAATATTTTGAACCAGCTTCTGAGTGTGAAAAAACATTCCGAACTGAATGATGGATGTGGGTGTTCCAACATTTATTCATATTAGTAATAAGTGAGCCGTCAAACAAATTCACTTGTCAAGATAATTTCATGGGCTTTAAAACATTTTATTCGACCTCTAACAGCATCAAAATATATTGGAGTGCTTCTTATTCTCGTTTGGAGGAGCAAATACTTCATTAAATATCGACAGAGCTCCTTGAGTTTCCGGAGGATTTCTTGGAAAAAGGTTCGTCTACAAAGAATTTCACAACTAGTAGAACGAAAATCTACCCTTTTTACGAATTTCAAAATAGTTTTTGGGTATTATTCCGATAATGAAAATGTTGGTATACTTTCCATATGTAAATACATGGTTGTTCAAATCAACTAGATATACTCCGACGTGTAATTTCTTAGGCAGAAACAAATATTGATATTCCTGAAATATATAGGAAACCTGAAAATAGGGACTGAAAAACTAAATTGAATATACTACAACAAGATATTGAAATAAATATTATCCTTAGTGGCAGAATTGCGATTATTCCTACTTCTAAGTAACGTCTACAAACATGTTTATTACATTTTTTATTCTATATATATCTCAAACAATGCAAGTTTACAACTATTGCCACTTGTTGGACACACAGTAAAAACTAATATTTCCTAAGAGGCTATCAACACTCAGTGGTGTCCCCCATGACCATGGCCGTGGTCACTGGGATACATTTTGTCATACAGAGCAGTCCCAGCAATAGTGAGTAAGAAAGCACCAAAACCATATTTGAATCCTCTGAAGAACACCATCTTCGTCCTGTAACTCTCAGTGCCGAATTCTTTGGGGTTATATCGCCATACTTCATTTCGAAGCCAGGGGTCCTTCAATCCTTGAGAAGCTAAGGCTCTCTGAGTTGTCAGGAGTTCAGGAACGTCTTCCACTTTGTATATCCTATAATCTGGAATGGTATAAGGTTCGGCATGATGATGACCGTGCCCGTGGCCCCCCATAACTAGAATAGGAAAAGTAACCTCAATCAGTTGCATAATCAATTTGACTTTTGTTTTACTTTAACGTATTCAACTCAAAGACGTGATTGAAATACAAGTTGCAATCGAATGTTATTACTTACCAAGATATGAAAATACAATACGAGAATATTTTTATAAAAAATTAATAACTTTTTTCAAAAAAATTTTGGAATGTTCATCATTAATACCATTTTTAAACTTTTTCCTTAGTAAGGGGCCCATTCACAATATCTATTGAACTTAATTGTTGAATGATTTTAAAATTTATTTTTCAAATGTCTAGATAATTTTTTATTATTTATTTCAGGATACAAAACCAAGAACAATGTACTGAGAGATCTCAAAGTTGGTCGTCAGTCTCTCTTAAACCCCAGAGCCAAACATCTTTACGGTAGAGTCATTGATTCATCAAAGAAGCTGGCACGGTTGAGCCGTTAGGTTTTTGAACACTCAGACAAACAGCGATTTCATTGATCCAATTATATTGTCTGCTCATGAAAAATTTTTGAAGAAAAAGAATCGTTTATTGAAAAAACATTAGTGTAAGTTGAGGTTTACGTATTTCCAATAAATTTTGAACTGAGTTCATATAGTTTCATTACCTACCACATTTACACAAATTTAACTGAAAATAAATATGGTTGATCATAATTTGAGGTAATTCAGTTCACATATTTATTGTTGCTTCACTTGTTGATATTTTTGATTGGTCAAGGTTTTTCCCAGATGATTTCTGTGGAATCAAAACCTGACAATAACAATAAATGATGAGATTGGAACCTGTGGTGTAACTGTTGAAACTTTTCCTAGAGATCAATTTCCCTAACACCAAACTGATATTTTTGCACTCGACGCGCATTTCGCTATCAAGGTTAGCATCTTCAGGAGAAAAAAATTGATACTGTATCAATTTTCTATTGTACAAAAAGCATCAATGATTTTGCAGCCTTTATAGAATTTCGCGCTATATCTCTTAGGTTCGGCTGCCAAACACTGGAGGCGCTGAGAAAAGTGGTTCTGTCGTCAACATTGCCGTTACCGTTCTATGTGTGGCTGTTTTGTGATGCCAATTCAAATAATTGTTTTCTATAGAAACATTTTTTTTACCCACTAAAAATGTTGTCTCTCTACGCGCGTTTCACTAAACCAAAATAACCGTGTCAGCTAGGATCATGGGATCTATAAAATGAATGATATGGTATTTTTCTTGTACAAGAAACTTCATTTATGAAGTTTGTAAATTGATGATATTCAAGTTAAACGAGATCGGGTGACTAACTTCAGTTGAAAATTTCTGATGGATTGCTTCAACCACAAACGTTTCGAATGGACCACCAGATGAATTCGTCAGATCAATTGGTGGTCATTGGTTAATTTAAGAACAAGCCTAAAATGGTTGTACATTGTACGTTTCATTAAGATTTAGGCGTTTCATAATTGGTAATACTGGTGATGTCGGTATTATTAAAGGAAGACATATAGTCAGATATCAGTGTTGCCAATAATGAGACACTGAAAACATATTAAAACATTTCTACGTGAATACAGTCACTTTACCGATGATTTCATTCAAAACATCATTATTCCTATTGTTTATTGGTTGAGTTACTACTACTTGAGAGACAGCAGAAATGAACAAGGCCTCAACACCCGAGGCTAATGAACATAGCAATCGATACCATTGACACCTGAGTGGGTATGTATTCTATTTGTGGACATTTATTGTGAGTTGAAATTGTTTATCTATCTATCTTTACGAATTACCTTACATTTAGAGTTTCAATTTATGAAATCAAAAAAAAAATGTAACGCTCTCTCTCACATTATCAATGAAAAATAGCACAGAGCCATTTGGAAGCAATGTATCGAACAATATCGATCAAAAGTTTATAAGTGTTGTTCTAAAAATTGTTTGGTAGAGTTTAATAGATTCCAACTGGAAGTACAGCAAGTTTGACAAAATGAAAAAGTGGTTACGCTACCGAAATGGTCCATTTTCAATAAATTCATTACTATTTTCACTCAGCAGGCATTTTCGTTTGAAAGAGAGATGATCGTATCACACTTAGTATGCTATTACTATTGTTAATATATTACAAATCGTTTTTCGCTGGACGTTCTTTCAATGTACCATTTATATTATTATTCTATTGGAACTGTGCCTCAATAGCCCCAAAGGCTGAGGCTAAAAAGAAATCAGAATATTGACCTTATTAAGTCAATGCCATGGTTGCCAACTGCGGTAAAATAATGACATTTGCTAATAAAGAAATTACCTACCTTTCTGAGTTCCTTCTGCATTTTCATTTTTGTTCTTGTATTTTGTCCTTGTAGCGTGCTTATTTTTGCTGTTTTCGTATATTTACTCGTTTGTTTCCTCAGATCAATTATTTTTCCAAATGCAAAAAATGAAATCAAGGTAAGTCAAGTGTGTTTGTTAATTTTTAAATGACTAAAGTACCATTGTTTAATTTTAGTTTGCCGAAGGGACCTTGGACAAAGAATTTGATGATTTCTCCTGCATCTTTCTGTGAAGGAAAATGCAGAAGGACACAGAAAGAAAGGTTATTTATTTATTAGCAAATGTCAAATATCATTATTTTACCGCAGTTGGCAACCATTGGGTTGCATCACTTAATAAGGTCAATTGACATTGACTTTCAGTTTTCAGTGTTGTCAACATGACACCTGACAACATAACATATAAACCATAGAAGTCAACATTTATCATTCAGACGCAGGGATCTAGCACAATTTCTGTTATGTGTCTGTCGTATGTGAAAAAGTAATTTAATTACTTGAATTGAAATATTATTGTTAAAAGGTACAATGGGAACAAAAACAATGAAATCTTTCGGTAGTCTCCAACACGAGTTAGAGGAAGCGAAAAATAGCTTGAAAGGTGTTGACGAGAATTTAAAGAGGTTAATTGGCAGGGACCCCTCAGAGTTACCACCAAGAATTTCCTTGAAGCGTCCTGCTCCAGATGATAAAGGGCGAGCCGGCGTTAAAGGTCCAAATCGAATGAGAAATTTCACCCATGAAAATGAAGAGCCAGTGCCCAAGAGGAGAAATAACATATCTGTTTTTAAAAGGTTATCGGAGAAAGTTGTTGATGATGAACTTGTTGTGCCCCACAGAGGTTTAATAAGTAAAGTTATTGTCACCCCTAAAGAAATACCTAGTAGGGAAGAAGCTTTGGAGGCTCAAAGTAAAGATGAAAAGTTCAAAGCTAGAAATAGGCGAATGTTTGGTGCCTTATTGGGAACTCTGCAGAAGTTTCAACAAGAGGAAACCAAGTTGAAACCAAGGGTGAGTCTATCCATTTCTTGTATCAGACCAGATTTTTTAATTGTGCCAACTATATAGCCCAACTATATAAAGCCCAATGCCCAAATTCTAGCCTGCTCTAGAATCTACTTCTTCAATCGATCTAACAGTATTCACTTCCGACTCCCCAAATTGTCAAGAAATTTCATACCTCAAAGTTCAGATCAAGCTTTCTTTTCTTTTCTCTTACATCAATTACTGTAACACTGTAATCTGCATATGAGCATATGTTTGCAACAACTACTCTCTTTCCAAACTGAAGCTGAATTTATAATCATTGATAGAAGGACTGAGAAATGAAAATCACTGAGCTCTTAAAAACATGTATAATTCTAGCGACTGCCACAGACAAAGTAAACAATGAATACACCTGTTATTTTCTGAACATACTTCATAGATGGTAGATTTCCTATTTCCGTTCATTGTTATTCACTTTTTGAGGTGTCCTTTTCCTACTTGGTAGCTTCTTAGCTAAATGATATTCCTGCAAAGTATCTTAATTTATCCGCTCCCTATCTGAAGAAAAATATGAAACAGGCTATCTTAAATGATCAACTAAATATAGTAAATTTTAATCCTGTTGGTTTGTTTTTCTCAATATGTTTTAACTTGTTTTTGGTTTAGGTTAATATCATTTTAAATGTATGTGGTTCATTTGTGTGTAATTTTCCATTTTATGTATATTATGACGTAAAAATTATTTTACTATTATTATTATAGTTTTGAACATCCATATTTCAGGAGCAAAAACGGGCCCAGCTGGAGAAGAAAATCGAAGAACATGAAATTAAGGAAAAGGAAGAGGTTAAAAAGGAACGGCAAGAACTATTTTTAAGTCGAAAAAAGAAGCAAGCCGAAATTAAAATCATAGAGTTGAAAATGTTGAGAATGAAGGAGTATTCGGCTTGGGAGGAAACTCAAAAACCAAGGACGAATTTTATATTGACGAAAACTAAACCACATATACATTATCTACCTAGGAGAATGACAAATGAAACTAAAAAACTACTTGAGGAAAGTAAAGCTGAAGTTGAGAGTAAGTATCTGAACTTGGGTCAAAATTATTTTATTGTCTTCAAAGGGGAGAAATGATAATGTGCTTGTTTTGCTCTTTTGTAAAAAGTTCTGAGTTTATGATAGGTTGATTGACTGTCTACTATACTATAGTTCCAGGGCTTAATCATGCTACAATTTCTTTAAAATTTAAAATTAGAAGAGAAGCAAAAGTTAAAATATGTTTTATTCACAGAAATTTTGGAAAAGAAGCAGCAAGAAATAACAGAGGAAATGCAACACATAGAAGATCGAATGAAACGCAACTTTGACTACAAATTCAGACAAAGGGAAGGCAAAGATGAACACCCTCCTGCTGAAGAAGAATCACGTCATAGAGAAGATAAAGACCAAGAGGATGATAACGATGGGGAGGAAAATGTTGATAATGAAGACCACACAAATACAGTTACGACAGAAACACAAATGGATGATGTCAAAACTGAAACAGAAGAGGAAAAGGTGGCGCCTGTTCAGGAACAGGATTTGGTAACAGAGACGGTTGAGAATCAGAGTGAACCTAATAATCGAGTGGAGGATATTTGTGTACCTGATGAACCCATGGACGTTAGCACCAACGGTCATTTAGAAGATGTTCCTCTTCCTCCCGAGTCCCCACCAAATCATCAAATTCATTACAGTAACTCTGAGGAAAATAACGTTCAAAAAGATCATTCCGAAAATCAGACAGGCGAATGATAGAGAAAAAAAACATGATTGTGTTTATTGATTGTGTATCATATTGTGACCATAGATTTTAAATGGATGTAAGTTTTGGGTAAAATGTAGGCTAAGACCCATTCAAGCAATTTATTATACGGAGTTGTGCTGTAAATGAAGTTTTTAGAATCCACAGTTACTTGGGAGTTGTTTATTTCATGATATACACTTTGAATATTTATTTCTCTAGTGTATTTGTTTCTTGACTTTTTGAAGTGAGTGTTTCATTTAACAAAATGCAAAAACTTTCAGGGACAAGTAATATCAAAAATGTTCATCGATAACATCTCATTTGATATATCGCTGAATAAGAGCCGAGAAAAATTATTGATATTTTACCCAGTAAATTACCGAAAATACATTAATGTTCTAAGCTGAAAGAAATATATTTTTAGGAGAGAATAAATCATGGGAAAGAAAGGCTTTGACCTTCTACTTCTCCATCTTTATACACAAAATGTGGGAGCTATCAAAGAACTCAATTAATTTAAAAATGTCTTCTAAAAACTACTTTTATATGAACATTGAGTTAAACAAAAAACACCTTTTTCTATTCAGTTTTTACTCAGAGAACGTTTTGGAATTTCACTTATATGGAACACTGTCATCCTCAAATCAAATGGAAATATACTTTATTACCCAATATCTGACATCTTATTGGCGAAGTATAGTAAAGTAAAACGTGTATATGGGACAAATATAAACTATAAAATAATGCTTATAGACAAGAGCAGAGTATATGGACAGAACAATATTAAGCCCAGCTGAACAGATACAAATATAAGTACACGAATATATGAATATTGAGTAAATATATAATGCTATGTAATGAACATTGATAGCCATTTCATGTTGAATTCAATATCTTTCTAACACAAAGCTACATGCCAATTGCTCGATAGAGCCTTGGTAGAATTCGTCCACACTATAATGGGGCCTCCCAACAAGAAATTCTTTTGCTTTCTTTCTGAATTTCTTTTCATTATATATTCCTAAATTAATGGAAAGGTGATTAAATAACTTCTCGCTATTGAAAATAATAGAATTTTGTGTAAGGGCTAGAGTAGGTGTTGGAAGAAAAATGAAGTAAGATTGACGTGTACTATAAGTTGGGGTGGTATTAAATTGATTTAGTTTCCAAAATAAAAAGACATACTGAGGTCAGAATTTGTTGCTTCACAAATAATGGGCGGCAGTAATCCCTGTAGGTAACCTTGCATAAATATCTAATGGATCTTTTTTGTAGAGAGAATACCATATTGAAACGAAATTGTGCACGATTTCTCCAGAAACAAATTCCATGACGTAAATAGGACTCAATTTGTGCAAAATAAACTGATCTTGTTATAGTAGTGTCTAACTCACTTGCAACAACTCTCACTGCATGACATCCTGCTGCTATCTTTCACATAAGTAGTCGACATGTGAAGAAAATTTTAGATTTTCATCAATGAAGAGCCTTAAAAATTTGTTTTTCTCCAAACTATCAATTTTTACATTTTTCAAGTGTACTTCCTCTGTTACATCTAATGGTGGACGTCGATGTTTCGGAATAAGACACTTGTCTTATTGCCTCTCCAGCACTAATCTGTATAACATTATATATGACTCTCAAATCATTCATAATATTATGACTTTTTGTCACGAATGAGTTGAATCTACTGTCGTTGATGACACTACAGGATTCGCGTAATTATATTCACGTAATTAATTTGCTTATTTGACTATTCCCAACCTTCTCACAGGTCACTGTTGTCTAAATCATCATATGCAGAGACTCCATCTGTCGGAAGAAAGTGTGTTGCCTCTGTTTGGAAAATGATGAAACAACTAAGCACATAGCACATTTTTTCTTTCATGCTATTCAAGGTTCACATGAAAGTAGTTGTTTCAAAAGGGCATGTGTTTGAAAGTTGCCCCATCGCATTATCTATAAATCTTTGTAAAGAGCTTATTTTAAAATCAATTGCTTTCATCCTTTCTTTGGAAGTGTCTCACATTTTGTGTATTAAGATGGACAAGTAGAAAGTCGAAAACTCTTTCCAAAAAAATTATTTTCTTTTGACCAACTTTTTGTTTTAGAAATATTGTAAGACAAGTTTTACCCCTGTTTCAAAACCGTCACAATTTTAAAGTGTCTATTAATTGAAATTTTAAGTTCTATGAAAATCAGCTGATGAAACACTCATGTTCTATTCTGAGAAAACCTCCACTCAATAAGAAAGTTGATAGGAAACAGAAAAAAATTGAAACTGTCAGAGAATAAATGTTTAGGCTACCCCTTGAACTGTTTTTTTCAGGTACAAACTAGAAAAGAAAGAATATTGAACAAACATTTCATTATGATTTTCGTATGGTTCACAAAACCATGTAAAAATGTTATCCCTAAATTCAACTCCTTTCAAGTGAGTGTTGCATCCTCTAAATTTTTTTGAATAGTAGTCTTGTTGGACTAGTCACCTAAAAAGACTCTTCATCGTCTATTCCAAAATTTTTATTCAAATTTAGAAGCAAATAACNAGTGTTGCATCCTCTAAATTTTTTTGAATAGTAGTCTTGTTGGACTAGTCACCTAAAAAGACTCTTCATCGTCTATTCCAAAATTTTTATTCAAATTTAGAAGCAAATAACACAACAGTTAAAACCCCAGTGCATCACGATCACCTGATCAGGATAATCCTAATCATTATGGAACCAATAATTATTTGACCTAGTTTGAGTCACAATTTTCAAAGTGTGATAATTGAAACTGTGTAAACTTTTACTAAGATAGCTTTCCTAAATGTATGAAAATGATGGAAAAGGTAAAGACTAGGCAGTTTTTACAAAGTTTGACAGTGATTAAATGCATTAGACCTGTTTAACTGATTGAAATGAACATAAATTGGTGCTCATAGCAAGTGCTATCAACATCAATATTTTTGCCATGTAATTAAAATTTTCCTAAATTATTTTGTCATAAAACGTATTATGGTATACAAAAAATTAAACCACTTGATCTCAGGATTGGAATTTTATATGGCAAGGCCGTAGCTATAGAGGCATTAAATCAAATGTCATTTCCAGAATGTCATGAGTTGGTGTCAACCACTAGTCTGCCAAACTCCTAAGCGTGTTTTTGCTATTGGCCTCAATTACAAGAACTCTGTAGTTTATCCATAAAGCCTTTTTCCAGAAAGATGTGGAAAGGAGGTAGGTCTTGAAAGATTTCTATGGACACTGAAGATGAGGTTTAGATGTTACCTCTCTGGTAGACTCAGAAAGTATATACCTTCATTTAGAATTAGGATGTTGCCGCAGCAAACATTTTGAACATCTAAACTATATCCATTTAACAAACAAAGCAACCCAAAGATAGATGCGTGACCAAATAATGATCACCACGTACATTTGCATGTAATGGGTAGAATAAAGAAGCCTCCTTATGATGGCCAATCAGATTCACCTGCAGATTCAACTGCAGTCGGCTTGCGGAATTCATTGTTACAGTGTCGGCGTGGTCAGTTACGTTTTAACACCTGTGTTGTGTACATATACTGTATTTTAAAGTTTATAATTTTTAAAATGTNAAATTCAATTGAAAGGCAAATATTAAATGTTTTAACTAATTCTCGGCCCGTTTGACCGGGAACAAAAAAGTCATATTTTTTTTATACTGGTTCGCGGCCACTGAAAATTTCAAATTGAAAGTCTTTTTGGATCAGTTATATGAAAAAAATCACTTTTTAAACCCTTCAGAATAATCACCAATATATTACATGCATTTTAAATGAAAAAGTCATAAAATACTTACTATTTCGTCGATTGACGCCACTTAACACTTTCCTGATTCAGACACCCGTGTTATCTCTTCCTCAGACATACAAGGCCTAAACATTGTTTTGCGCGACTTTCGCTAATGCTGTCATCTTAACCCTTACCCTATTAGATAAACATAAGATGCCGAAAACTAGTTTAACTGTGGTAATAAGTCAGGATAACTCATTTCTTTTAATATTTCGCTTTAAATGATTGAAAGACCGAGAACTAGTGCTGGCCGGATAATCAGTACACTTACCCTATATTTTGAAATGATGAAATTACTTCATGTGAATGTTCCACACCCTAGAATAGTTTATTCAGGTATGCCTGAAGTGTTTTTTCAATACGTTTTTCATGAAACTTCATCAAGTAAGGCCGAGTCCAACAAAAAATACGAAGATTTCAGAACCATAATTTATTATCAATACTTTTATCGGAAAATATCTGTTTTGCAAATGTCGCCAGAAACATTTTTTCTGCTCTCTATTGTTTCCCACTTCCTTGAAATAACATTGTTCCGCAGATTATACCCATTAAAGCCATCATTATCTAATATCATTTGGTTTCAATTACTTCCTCTGAATGTTTCTGAATATTCATCTTTCCCATCTACTTACACAGTAGGTTCTGGTAAATGCCTGCCGAAAAACAACTACTTCTCCGGCTAATACCACGCTGGATATTGAATTAAATTCCATAATGGTCTAGTTTCTGCAGTAGTATTCTTTGTTCTATGCATTCAAATAATTTTGTTGAATCACAAAATACCACTGTTGACTATCCTCACTGTTATTTAGATTACAGTTGGTATTTTGGCCTTCTTGAAATCTGAACTCTTGAGAGTTGATGATTTTGTTAATGAATAAGTTTGCACTTAGTCTTAAATTCTATTTTATTGGTACCAGATAAATACAATGTATTGGACACGTATAAATAATTTGTACATTTAACAAAAATATGAGTGCTATTAATTTTCATTTTCGTGCGCTTTCCTACTTACTGTATAGTTACAATATCTAACTTTTAGGCCTAAATTGATTACCATTTTTATTTGATCAGACGGGATGAGTTCAGGTTGGTTCATATCATAAACTGAAAATTGTATCAGCATTGTTTCTCGTTGCAGAAAGAAATTATCTTATTTTAATCAGTTCGAAGACAATTGTGTCTCTTCAAGGTCCTAAATATAAAGGGAACATTAAGAATTACGATTTTTGAAATATAACCATTAGGATGATTCTCATTTACCACATACATACATCAATGAGATCAAGAAGCCCCAGTTCTGAATGGATATATGCATTTGAAAAGGAGGTCAACTTGAAATAATTCTTTTTTTGAAACCATTTATTATGTATTTCAGGAAAGTAAAGGTGATAA